ACCCCACAACAATGTCTTCCCCATATTGTTGGTGTTGCTTAACTTTGTAATGTAAGCTTGCACCAATCGTTGCAGTTGGGTCCTGAAAATAAATATTTAAAATTAATTACAAAACAATTTCTTTTAATGTATAAAAAAATCACTAACCATACCTTTAAATTAATAGTATAATTCCCCCTTCCAGTTGGGGTCATAGACTCCACAAAAGCAACAACTGTTGGAACTTTTTCTAAATTGTGGTTGATATTAATCAATGTCATCATTTCTGGTAGCTCTATTGTTAATAAAACAAAAAAAAATTAACATTATTTGCATCATTAATTTTACACACATGAAACTTAATATGCTAAACAAACCTCTAGATTTCACATAATGAACTGCATAACGCCACGAGTTAGAGTTGAACACCATCATCGCAGGTCCATTAAGATCAAACAAGAACTGTTGTATTGGCAAGGGATTTTCAGATTCCCTGTTCCTCATGGTAGCTTGGACCAAACCAGCTGGTCCAAGAATAAGAGGGCCAATGTCACATGCACTAGATGTCTCCTCGTCATTGTCATCCCCAAGTTTTGGTGTAGGGGGTGACAACGGAGATAATGACTCCTGCTTTCTAGCTTCTTCAGCTTGTTTAGCTGCCATAACACTTCTCATTATTGACAACAATTGCTCATTTGTCAATTCTTCCTCCGATCGAACAATATTTTCCTCTTCGTCACTATCTGGCACATAATCTACTCCTCTACGAGATATTTCTGATAAAATATAAAACAAAATAAATATTCCATTAATATTGTTTCAAATTCTCAAATTTATAATATTCAGTATAATATCATAATTTTTAACATTGCAATAAATACATATATTCAATTATAAAAATTAAATTATATAACTTTTTCAATAAAAATATAAATTTTATCTGTTGCACTGGAATGGCCCGTTCTGAAACCAGAACGGGCCGTTCTCATTGCACCTATGGTGTCTTATCTTAGGATCTAGAACGGGCCGTTTTGATTTCAGAACGGCCCGTTCTCATTGCACTCATAACAAGTTAATTTTAGTTCCAGAACAACTCGTTCTCATTTTATAACAGCACGTTCCTGAGCCAAAACTAACAAATCTTCAGTATAATAAGAACGGGCCGTTCTGCTTTCAGAACGGCCCGTTCTTATTGTACATAAACTTCCTTACTTTACCTTCCGGAATGGCCTGTTCTGAAAACGTTCATTTTCAGAACGGGTCGTTCCACGTATAAAACTTACGTATTGACCTTTCTATTTTTTAAAAATAAAAATTAAATTATTACACCACCCTATTTTATCTTTGAATCACCATACAATATATTATAAAAATTAAAATTAAAAATTACAACAAATAAAATATGTTACTCACTTGCACTACCTTGGACCACCAAATAAAATATGATAGCACTATCCTGGACCACTGGACGAAGTGAACTCTTGTAAAACCCAATAACACGTAGATTTTAAGTATTGTTAGGAGTGTCTGCATTTGATAGCGCGTGGGGTTGGGGCGCCACATATCATGGTGTGTACAACGCGCCTGGGGGAGAGGCGTTATGCCAAGTGTCATTGCAGATTAGGATGGCGCATGGGGGGGAGGCGTTATATGTACAATACATACATAGCGCCTAGGGTGGAGGCGCATTGCCACGTGTCAGAACGTGCTCAGATGGCGCCTAGGGGAAGGCTCCATCTGAAAAATGCCTCACCCCCTGCTCTTTCTTCTCCACGTCAGCCATGTGTCACGTGGGCCCATACAAGGCGCATGGGGGGAGGCTTCTTTTGAAAAACGCCTAGCCCCCCTGCGTTTTCTCTTCCACGTGGCATCCTACATGTCAAAAACTACCTATTCCGGTAATTATTTATTTTTTTAATTTATTTTGTGTATTTTTTTTATTTATCTGGGCCAAAAAGCCTGTATGATTGCATTAGAATATGAAAAGTTTTGCATAACATACATATTATCTAAGATGTGATTTGATTAATTTATTATATGATGTTTATTATAACTATTATGTTTTTTATTTCTTAACATGTATTTCACACTTGAAGCGTGAGTTATATGTATCTCACTCTCTATCTTTTTTTTCATTTGTATTTGGACCGAATGTTATTTCTAAATAAGGATCAACTTGATGTTGATGTTGGTGGAGAGGCTTTGTCCTTAGTCTCTACTACTTTGGGTATTATGCTATAATAGGAAGTGACACAAAGCTTGGATTTTTATCATGTTTTGTTTATGTATGTCTCTTTTTATTTAATTGTATTTTATTTCAAATGATGTATGATCATTGGGGTGCAAAGTCATTTTAATTAACATTTTTATGTATTGGTTTTAATTTTAAAACACAACTAGTTGTTTAATGTGATTCCTTTAGATAACTCTTTTTTTTTTTTGCATGAAATGCATTAATTGCATGGGAGGATCTTTACATAAACTTTTAGGAGAAATACTAGGAGGAGTTCTATTAAAATGACAATTTATACTAAAAAAGTATTCTTTTTCTTCTTACACATAAGACATGTTCTACCCTTTTTCCTTTTGTCCAACTACTTTATTACTTTTGCTGATAAGTTCATTCATCTTTTGTAGTTTGATAATAACAATTATCAATGTGAAACTTGATTGTATACACAAATATTCAAAAATATGTAAAGACATTCAAAAATTATAGTGTGTTAATATCAATAAAATTTATTTAGGTTTTGGAGATAATTAACTTTGTCAATAAATATAAAAGGTCATGAGTTTATATTAACGATCCCTTTGCCTTAAGCCTCGCAAAGGTGTAAAGCCCCTTCATTCCATTTCAATTCCACATAAGAGAAATGCTAGTAGAAGTATTCTCATGCATATTCATAGAGACAACGACTTTCAAAAAACCTACCATTATTAGAGTTTTCTTTAAAAACTCCCAATCTAACATGTCATAGGTTTTCTCCAAATCAAGTTTAAACACTTAATCACCATTTTTCTCTTAAACTTTCTCATTTAATGGAAAATCTCTTGGAGCACAATTGCATTATCATTCGTTCTCTAGCTAGAAATGAAACTACTTCACCAATGGCTAATGAAATCCACCAAAAATGTCTCAACCTATTAACCAAAACCTTTGAAATGATCTTATATATCACATTAAAAAGGCTAATAGGTTGAAAATCTCTAAAATAACTAGGGACAACCCTCTTTGAAATATTCACCAAAATAGGTTTTGTCACTTTCTCATCAAAGTGACAATCTTTCACACTTCATCCCCTACTTCATTCCATAACATTTTAAAGAAGATTGGTTGAAAACCATCAAGACCACGTGCTTTATATGATTTCATAGTCACTTCTTTATTAAAAATGATGAGTTTTTGGTGACATTTTTCAAAGCCCGGTAGCCTTCCCAATATCTCTCACACCTTTATGGCAAGGTGAATTGCCTGAGGATAATTATAATGTGTGCACCAAGCCAAGTCTTGCATCAAACAAATAGAGGATTATAGTTTTAATGCCTTCTAACCAAATGCTCTAATGTAGCATCTAAAAAGGCCATCCTCCAAGCATGATCACATACTCCTCGATTATGTCTCTAAGGAATCAAATGCTCTAATGTAGCATCTAAAAAGGCCATCCTCCAAGCATGATCACATACTCCTCGATTATGTCTCTAAGGAATCAAACCCCTCCTAATGCAACTCCTTTGCTAAGTGAAATGTCCTCCAAAAAACTCCATATCCATGAGCCTACACGAATTTAAATCTTCAACAAACATAAAAGCTCTCACTATGAAAAGGCCCCCCCTTTTTTGCTTCAATGATAGAGTAATATTATTAAAATCTCCCACTAACATCTAGTATAGCGATATCCTCCCCAACTCCTCTAAATTCCTCCACAAATTCTTCCTTATAGCAAAATCATATTAGCATAAAGTGGCATATAACACCAATCCTTCTCCCCAAGCAAGATTAGGATTATACTATAATATATTGTGGCAATAAATTTACCAAACTAACACGATAAATATCCATTTTATTAATTGCAACTTACATGCTTTCATCATAGTATTCCATACTCAAACATGGAAAATAAATTCACACTAATGTGCTCTCAATCTTAACCTCCAAAGCAATAAAATTAGGAACCCATGGTCGCATAACTAAGTAATGATCATAAATCATCCAAGGTCAACACCCAATCACCGTATCTTGATCTTTTGATAGGCTAAACATCACCATATAAAAACCGTTCCACATCCATAATATCATAACCTCTTGTCTTTTTCCAAATTGCTTGTAGCTTGTACCTCATAGTGAAGAAACCCATAAACTTTCCCAAAAGCTTTATAAAGATTGCCTCTTGCCAAGAATTCCATAACTCATAGGGAATAGTCTCATTAACAAAACACTTAGGTTTTAAACGATCATCATCCTCATAATCAATACTATACAACATCTTATCAATAAGATCCACCGTATCTCTCCTTGGAACAAATTATTGACCCATCATCTTATCACAAAATGGAACTTTAATAAACCTTTCCTTCCTTCTTCCTCCTTCTATAACAGAGAAAATCACTTTATTTTAAATTATCAATTCTGTTATAGTCTTTATTATTTTTTAATGGTCATCGAAATATACTATTTTTATTTTTGTAATAATTTAACTTTAGTCCATATTATTTATTTTTTTTTCAAAGGAACTAATTTAAAATAATCAAAATATTAGAGACTAAAATAAAAAAAATATATTATAAAAACCAAAATAAAATAACAAAAACAAAATATATTTTTTTTACAAGAAACATGTAAAAAAACATATTTAAAAATTAATTAAAAAATATACTTAATATGTAGTTCGAGAGTGGATATGATTAATATATTTAATTAAAAAATAAAATAAGCCTTTCCAACCTTTTTCAAAAACTAAAAAGAAAAAAGTTTAACCCTACAATAATAATATGCTCTCCTTTTATTTTATTTTTATTTTATTTCTCCCTGTGAAACGCACGTCGTTTTTTGTTCCACATTTTCTACTCGGCGCGGTTGTGGCCGCATCAAGGTTTAAGCTTTCAAAGTCTGGTCTCGAAGCCATAACACCCACTTTCCTAATTCCAAGGTAAAAACTCAAACCCTACTTTATACTTTACGGGAACGAAGTTTGAAATTTGGGACTTTGTATAGGGTTTTATTTTCTACTTTTTTTTTAAAGCATTTTCTTTGATTTTATTCTCAAGATTTATGTAAAGTATTGGAACTGAGAAGGGCTTTCTGGTTATGAGGCCATCTATTTTTGGGGGTTAATGGGAAATGTGTGTGCCAGCCATTGTTGTATGATTCATGAGTAACCTATCATTTTAATCCTTGAAATTAGAATTGCCAGTATTTTTGGCATTAATTCAGTATTGTATGCTTGAGAAATGAATGCTGACAAGAAAATATGACCGAGTAAAAAGAAATCTGAATTCAGAAGTGTATGTGCTGTTTTAATTTCTGTTTTGTGAAGTTGAACAAAAGCACTCTACTCATGTATCATTTGTTTCTCTATAGATTTGGATAACAGATACTTGTTCTTTTTGAGTGGACTTGAAGATTTGTGGACCCATAAGATGCTGGCCAGTGATCCTGCAAAAAAGCTTTCGTTTAATCGGTCAATTGGTAATGGAGATTTGGTTATTGTTTATGAAAGGCATGACAACATGAAGGCTGTAACAGTGTCTGAGGGATCAGTCCTGCAGAATCGATTTGGTGTTTTTAAGCATTCTGACTGGATTGGAAAGCCATTTGGGTCCAAAGTATTCAGCAACAAGGGTGGTTTTGTGTACTTGTTAGCACCTACACCAGAATTGTGGACACTTGTTTTAAGCCACAGGACTCAGATTCTATATATTGCTGATATTAGCTTTGTTGTCATGTACCTGGAGATTGTTCCTGGTTGCTTGGTTCTTGAATCTGGAACTGGAAGTGGATCATTAACTACTTCACTTGCAAGGGCAGTGGCTCCTACAGGACATGTCTATACATTTGATTTTCATGAGCAAAGGGCTGGATCAGCTAGGTAATAGAGTCTATTGACATTGCTACTTTAAATACTGTATCCGTTAATATCTGACATTTGATACATGTGTCTTTAACTTTCATTAATGCTTTATGTTATATTTAATAGCTTTAGATTGTGTTTTGTTGTTGTCTTGTTGATGAAATTTCAAGTCATCTTTTTGGTGAACTAATCCTTCTTTATCTGATACTTGAGTACAAACTTATTTACTACTCATCCTTTGAAGGACTGCATCATTTAGGACATGACAAAGTGTTAATAATAAAGAATTAGCTTTGTGTTTATGTGAGTGTGAGAGAGAATGCTCTTAAAATGGTCAGTATGTAGGTAAATTGATACTGCTGTTTGTTTTAAAAAGAAATACGGAATCATTCTGGTTATATTTTTCCTCTGCTTGCTTTTCAGGGATGATTTTGAGAGGACTGGTCTAAGCAATTTAGTAACTGTGGGAGTTAGGGACATTCAGGGTGAGGGGTTTCCTGATGAGTTCACTGGTTTGGCTGATGCAGTATTTTTGGATCTACCTCAGCCTTGGCTAGCTATTCCTTCAGCTGCAAAAATGTTAAAACAAGATGGCACATTGTGTTCATTCTCACCGTGTATTGAACAAGTTCAACGATCTAGTGAAGTGCTTCAAACCAGCTTTACTGGTGCTGTCCAGTTTTTCTCTCTCTATCTTTATCTATATATTTCTTATGTAGGTGGAATTTGAACTAATTTTTCTGGGGCATCACTTCACCTGAAAATGAGAAGATGGCTAAACACAATTTAAAAAATGAATGTAGAATATTTTTAATGAACTGAAGTCCAAAAACTAGAGCTTATATAGAAGATAATGAGAGTATTCTACTTTTGAGAAGAAAAACTCAAACTAGGCCAAACACTATTTTGCACTTGAGCTGTTGAACTGCTATTTTTCTTAACTTTTGGTGCTGTCTCTCGTATAATCTATTCAACTTATGTATATTCGTATACGCACTGACAGAATTTTCTCTGTAAATGTTTTCTTATGTAAAAGATATAAGGACTTTTGAGGTACTCCTACGCACATATGAAGTCCGAGAAGAGAAATCAGAAAGCATACAGGGGAATGGCTCTAATGGTTCACTTCCTTGCAAGAGGAGACAGTGTTCAGATGGAGGCAGTGTGATCAGTAGTCCTGTTTCATCTGTTATGGTTAGACCTTGTGGTGAAGCTAGAGGTCACACAGGCTATCTCACATTTGCAAGACTTAGATGTCTCTTATGAAGAGTGTTTTCACGTCCATCTTTTTTCCTTTATTTCCTAGGAGAGCAAAGGCTTTGTATTTTTGAATCATGTCTTTTTCCTTTTCATTTACAACCATATGTTTTCAAAGAAAGTTTTGATATATGCTTGGCTAGAAATCTACTTTTCCAATTAGCCTTCACAAATATGTTTAGTCTGATATGAAAGGGTGGATAGTGTTCGTGTGATATGCTTTTATTGATCCAACATCCTGGTGGGACGATGATCATCAACAGATGCGTAGAGAAATTCTTGTTTGGACATTTCATGGTTTAAAAACTGCACATTTGATAACTTTATATTTCAGACAACTAGAAAACTTTTGTAGATGACTAGGGGTTTGTTTGGATAAACTTCTCCAAAAACACTTTTAAGAGAGAAAAATAAGAAGAAAAAAATGAAATAAACATTTTTTTAAAGCTAAAATTTGCTTATGCATGAATTAATTCATAAAACTCTCTTGTTAGTCTTTTCAAAATCTTACTTTTAATTTATGCATAGGTTAGTTTTAACTTATATAGAAGTTTATTTTGATTTTTTTTTCTTAGTATTTCTAAAGAAATTTATCCAAATAGCTCTAGATGTGTTTTGAACTATGTCTTTCATTAAACCATGCATGTAAAGTTCCAATTGCAAGTTATTTACTAGTCAAATTTCTGTATATCATGAAATTGCATCCCTAGAAACGGAGAAACTAAACATGCAGATTTGTGAACCCTTGCAGCCATGTATTTGCTTCTGATATTGCCAACCTAAGACCATATATAAAACCTGAGTTACATTTCCTCTCCAGTTATATAGCCCACCAATTCCTGGCATACTTAGACCATGAGAAAAAGATAAACAAAAAGACTCATGGGAACCAGAATTAACTTTATGAATGTGTCAATGGACAAAGAGTACTTACTTTGAATTCTAGTAGTAGGACTATTTTTGCAATATTTGATGCAAGGATCAACTACTTTCTTAAACCCAAACTTGATCTTTTGACTCTTAGGAAAGAAATTGAAAATCAATATATATTGTTCAATTAAGGATTTGACGCTTAAAAATGGAAGTGTGTAAAGGTCGAAAGGATGTCATAATCTTTCATTAAAGTGAATTAAGTATTTTAAATTTATAAAATATTTAATTTCTAGTAATAAAGGATAATTTGTCTTTTTGATTGCCTTTGATTTGAGGGGTAAAGCTTGTCTTATTGTATTTATTTAAATTATGATTTTAATCATCTTAATTTTAGTTATTTTTGGTTTTAATATTAAATTTTAGATATTTTTGGTTTGATTTTTAAAATTTTGATCTTATAAATTTCTAAATTTTCTATATCGGTCTATTTTTTTTTTATTTTCCCTTTTAATGTTAGATCTAACGGCAAAGATAACAATAAAATAATTTTTTTTAAAAGGATGAAATTAATTTTATTTTTTAAAAAGATTAAAAGCAAAAATTTCATAATTTAATGGGGATGGAAAAGTTATTTAAGACTGAAATAATGAGTTAACGTTAAAAATGCATTAAATTTTAAAACGGTGGAATGGAAATAACATGCTTTTTGTATGGAGCAGGCGGGATTTGAATCTGACGTTGCTAACTAAAAATTATATATTGGAATATTCCTCTTTATAATTGTTTCTGTCTACACTCTCCAGAACATTACACTCTTCGATTTTTTAAGAAAAATTACAAAATTAAGAATTCTTTTAATGTTTTTTTTCACACTATTAGTAAGCCCTCACATAATTTATAAATTTCTCACACTTTTTAAAAATGATCTACTTCGTTATTTATTTTTTATTTTTGCAAATACTAATGGATCAGAATCACACGTGAGCCCCCTCCTCAGACGGATTCCTCCTTTTGGTCCTAGCCTATAGGGTATTAGCAACTATTTTGAGTTGTTGTTCCCCTCCCAAGGGTAGGTTTTTATACGCTTCTCACCCGTCCATGAATGATAAATTATAGCATAGATCAAACTACTGAATTGGAAAAATTAGGTGCTATCGTATAGCTTTATATCGGCTAAGTTCACGAGTTAGAGATAAGCAGACTCGAACCGCGACATCCGCTACAGGGTAAAGCATCACCTCTCAAGTCCCAATTGATTCTACGATAGAGGCTAATGATACACAATAACTCCCCTTGAACACAGCTTGTAGGGTGGAACCGTACAGTACCAGACACGAGATAGATCTTCCAAAGAACAAGACTTTTTTCAATTAAGCCAATTCATTTGGGATCCTGCGGATCCACTCTTTTTCCTATTCAAAGATCAGCCCCTTATCTCTATATTTTCACATCAACAATTCTTTATTCTTTTAATAACTATTCACTTTATTATTTATTTATTTTATTAAAAAAATTAGAAGCCCAAAGCACGTTTTTCATTACTAGTTTTTATAACATTTCTTAAAGAAATTGAAAGGGTCAAAACTCTCAAATCACTTGTTTATTATCTTAATTTAATATATATATATATATATATATATTTATTATTTTAATGATCTTAATTTTTCTTTTTAATTCTGTTGACTATGTTGGAACTAAACTAATTAAAAATAATGATAAATACTTTGAAAGGAATGCTAAGAAAAATGTTAAAGATTTAAAATGATAAAAAAATACAAGAATTAAAATACAAGAGTTAAAGGAACCGTCGACGGGTTCTCTACCTCCGGCCATTGGAAATCTAACTCGTATGCAATACATGTAAGGCAATTTGACCCAATTTCAGTTCATAATATTCTGTGTACTTAATGTTCGGACACGTAATTAACTAACGATTGCATTATTATTTGTTAGGACCCTTGGCATCAATAATTTATCAGGGAAACTTCCAAAGGAATTGGGAAATCTTACAGAGTTGATAGTATTGTACGTTATTTACGTTGAGCTTTTCTTCCATTGGTTACAAAAGGTTGCAATTAGGAGTGTTAAAAATCTTGAATTGAATTGATCTATATGAGAATTGAATTAAAAATAATTCTTCCTATCTGAACTGAAAAATAGTTTTGCCAAAGTGAATTGAACTGTTTTATTAATTCGACAAAATGTTTTATCAAATTTGAATTGTACTGTATTTTAAACTAAATTGAATGAACTATTTTTTGCAATGATAAATATAAGAAACAATAAAAACAGGATAACTTTTACTCCTTTATTAAAAATTGTTCGATTTTTTTTAGTTCAATTAGCTTAGTTTGGTTCTCAGATTGTTCAGTTAAGTTTTTCTTTATGAAAAACAGGTTAGTTCAATTCACAACCAACTTAGTTTAGTTCGGGTGTTTTTGGAACACCCCTAGTTGAAATGAGTTATTTTTTTTTAAGGAACAAGTAGTCACCAAAGAGAGTTAGAGTCACTTGTTCAATGATTCTTGGGCTAAAGGTCTAGTTAATGGTGTGAAAGTGAGATTGACCAAAATGGGCTTACATTAGCTGAAGCCTATATGGGCCCTAAAATTTGAATGGTATGAGCATAAAAAAATAGAATTATGATTGATCTTATGATAATTGATATTTGTTTCCTCTTGTAATGGGATTCATGAAGCCTCTAATAGATAAGTGTTAGTACTATAAATGACAATTTTAATTACCATAAATGATACTGAACAAAAAATTGAGTTATAAAATGCAAAAAATCCATGTGGAAAAAAAAAATGATTTGATTCAAGATTGTTCTCCTGTTCTGGATATGTGATGGCGTGCATGAGAAATTCCTCTTCATGGCCCGGTTCAGATTTTCTATTTGTTAAATTTGTAGGAATTTTGGGACAAACAATTTCTCAGGATCTCTCCCATCTGAACTTGGGAAACTGACCAAGTTAGAACAACTGTAAGTACTTCTGCAATCTTTGCTTATAAATATACTAGTGTTATTGCAATGAAGTTTGCATTCTTTGACATCCTCAATTTTGTGAAAATGAAGTTGTAAATTATTTGTATATTCTTCCAATTGTATCTGCCATGATATGATGACATTCATTCATATTTGGAAACATACAAGAAGTAGAACTCCACAAATCTGTCAATCTTTATGAAGTAATGTCAGGTATAAATAGTTGACACTTAAAAGTTTGCACTCCTTATACAAAATTAAATTTACCCCAAAGTTATATCAGGTCATATATAGTTGCTCTTTTACATAGATTCACATACATGTCCAATTTAGTATGCCAAAATATTATCCACCTAGTATTAGTCTTTCTTGTATTAGAAGTTTAATGCCGAAAGTAAAATTTTGCAAGCCACAGATACAATGCTAGTATGAATTTTGGAATTGCTGGGAAGTCAAGGCCACACCTTGCCCCCATTCCCCCTCCCCAATGCATTCACTATTGTATATTGTCTCTCAAATGTTTATACGCCAATTGTAAATCATTTCTGTTTCTAATGTTAATGGATCTTATCTCTAAGTTGTAGTGGAACTGGTACTCCTATGTAAGTTTCTATATCATTGGGTATAATATAGCTATAATGTAGATACTACTCCTTCCAATATGGTTTGTGGCTGCAAACAACGTATTAATATAGTTATAGACATAGTTGGAACGCTGTTTAATTTGCTTCAGTGAGAAAGACATCACTTTTAACTTACAAACACTGTCTATTTTATGCTGTCAAATGTCATTTTTGTGGTAGTGAACAACAATATCCTTGGGAAGTATAATATATTGATTACTTAGTCATGTAACAAACAATTATTTATCATTTCCATACGATGAGACTTGTCATAAGCATACACTGTTGTGAATCAGGTTTTGGATAATGCAAAGTCTTAGGTCTTTTATTAAAAATTTCAATTTGAAGCTGTATATTTTTATTCTTACAGGAGAATATTAATTTCAAAGAATATTTCCTTGCAGCTACTTTGATAGTTCAGGAATTAGTGGTCCAATTCCTTCCACATTTGCAAACCTTAGGAATTTGGTAGTAGTGTAAGATATTTCTACTCTAATGTGCCTCATATTATAGTAGATTAAAAAAGACAAACTTCTATAAAAATAAAATGTTTTGTCCATTTCAGATGGGCTTCAGACGTGGAACTCACAGGCAAGATACCAGACTTCATAGGGAATTGGTCTAAGCTCCAAACATTGTAAGACAACATTACCAATCACATCTTTTTTCCTCCTTAATTTGAATTAAGTAGGTGAGAAACTTTTGGGCAAAATCAATTGTATTGGACATGCAA